ACTTATAAATCTTTAAAAATAATAAACTTTAAGCTAAATTAACCCGCCTAATATATAATAAACCTATATTAGAATACCTTAGGAAAAGTTATATATATAAATTTTTTATTTATAAATATTTTTAATCTAATATATACTAATATATAGCTTAATAAATCTAGAACTATTATATTTATTATTAAAATATTTTATTTTATAAAATTAAATAAGATATTTTAAAATCTTTACTTATATCTAAATATATTTAGTAAAATATTTTTATAGATTTTATTATATACCTGCCTAAAAACTAAAATTATAATATTATTTTAATTATTATAAATTACTTAATTAAAATAAAGTATTTAATTTTTTATAATTTAATTATTAATATACCTGCTATAATTATAATATATATATAATATATATAAAAGTTATATAGCCTGCCTTAAATAATTATATTAAACTAAAAATCTTAATTTATTATTAAATTCTAAAAGTATCTAACCTAGCGCCTGAATATTATAAGTAAATTATTAATTATATATTATTCTAAGACTAATAACTAAATTAAATAAATAAATATTATATTAGAGTAATATCTCCGAGTTTATATAAATTATTTATAAAATAACTAAAGTATCTAGTTTCTTTTAATTAAGTTTTTTTTAAATATTATATACTCTGACTTAATTAAGACTAGTCTATTTTTTATTAATTATAGTTTTTATTTATATATAAGGTTTAAATCTGTTTTAATAAAAAACTCTTATATATATAATTATTTTATTATATAAAATATAAACTATTATTAAATTTATCTAAATTAAAATATTATTTATTTAAGTTTATTATATTAAATAAATAAATTATTAATACTGCCCTGCCCGCTTATTTAAAAAAGATTAATTAATTTAATTAAATATTTAATATATTAAAATTTTATAATCTAATAAGAAATTAGACTAAAATATTTTAAGCTTATACTATATTAAAAAAATTATTAATTTATATATTTATTATCTGGAACTCCTGCCTAATATAAAAATTTATTTTATATTTAATATAAATTTATTTATCTTTATTAGTTTAAATATTTTATTTAGCTAGTAAAATCCTTTTCTATCTTATATTAAGATTAATAAATTTAAAAAATAAAAAATTAAAAATATTTTTAATTTATTTTAAGACTATCACAGCTGTGACTGCCCTTATTTAATATATATTATAAAATAGATTAAATATATAAACTTTATTATTAAGCCTGCTAGTTATCTAAAGTATATTAAATAAATTATTTAAAATTATTATTATTAATATTTTAATAAGTCTAGCCTTTTTTAGCCTTAATAAAGCTTAGTTATAAAAAAAATATATTATTATAATATAAACTTAAAGATATTATTAAGCCTACTAAAATTAGATAAAATTATTAAGCTAAAAAAAATCTATTTTTAATTTTAATTTTTTAATTATTTAAAAGCTTAAATATTAGAGATTTTATTATAATTTTTTAAGCTATATCTTATTTATTATCTTATATATAGTCTAACTATAATAATAATTAAAGACCTTATGAACCTAGCCCGCCTGATCCTGCCAGACTGCCTGCCCTGCCTGCTCTTGCCATACTAACTCTACCAACCTGCCAGCCTGCACCTTGACATCAGGTCTACACTGTGACAATAATTAAAAATATTAATGTTTAAAATTATAATATATATTTACTTAAAGGATTATAAGACTAAAATATTTATAAAAGTTTTTTTAAAATACTTAAAAGCCTCCTAATAAAATAAAATCTATTTTTATAATATTTTTTTATAGGTTAGACTATTAAATAAAATAATTAATTTTATAAAATCTTTAATAAAATAATAATAAAAGTTGTTAAACCTTAAAAATATTTAAGTATTTATAATATAAATTAAGATAAACTAGTTAATAATTATTTTAATCTTAGAAGAGTTTATCTAGATCTTTTTATAATTAATAATTAGGCCTAAGAACTTGGTTTTAGAAATAATAAACTTATATTTTAAAAGTTTTATAAATAAGTAGGCTCCTTATAGCTTTTATAAAACTTAGTAGATATAGTAGATATACTTAGAGTAGGTTTAGCTATAAATTAGAATATTATTAAAGTAAACAGTTTAAAAAATCTCTAAATAATTATGTAAAATATTATTAATATAATACTAGAATATTCTAAGGGCTCTGGTTAAACTAAATAATATTATTAAAGATTTAAATAGGCTTAGATAAGTATAAAATATAGTTATTTATTTTTAACCCTTTTAAATATATAAATTATTAAAAATATTTATAATATTAATCTTTGTAAAATAGTATATTTTCTTTAGATTATTTAGAGTCTTTTTTATTAAAGATAATAAATAATAATTTTTAATTATAATTATGTTTAAGGCTTAGTAGTTAATATAAAACTGTAAGTCTTTATTAGACTTATTAAAAAACAAGATAAAAAATATTATAAAAGATGAATTTAGGTAGATAAAACTTTTTTATAAGTTTTTAAGTAATTATTCCTGAAGGGCATTTAATTTCTCTTAAAATATATTATATAGGGGGCTAAATAATAGTCTTTTATTAGATTCTAAGATAATTATATAATTATAGTTTTTATATAAAAATAACTTATCTACTTCTTTTAGCAAGAATATATTGTTAAAGTCCTAGAATTCTATAAGGATATTAGGGCTTTAATTAGGGTTAAGTATCCCTTATATTAAGGGCTTTTTGATATAATAACTTATAGATGTAAATATCGGGTAATTCCCTTATCTTGTATTGAGCAACAAAAGAGTTGAGACGGGCATGGGCAAGGAGAGCCTCACTGTAGTCCCATCTATAGGAATATTGATGTTTGCCTCCATTGCATGGGAGAGCGGGCTAAAACAATAACAGCCGATAAATGAAGTAAGCTAAAGGCCCTGAATGTTAAATATATTAATGGAAAGAACAGCACAATGCTAGCAAAGAGTCACAATGACAGAGTGACCAAATACTGAGGTTATCTAACAACTAAAGCTAGCGTGGCCTTCCTCAGATTTAGTCTTAAGCGGATACCCTGCACCCCACCGGTTGTGAAACTCCGTATTCTTTTCTTGGCTTGCCCCTTCTTTCGACTCCCCCAGGTTCCCAACAACTGTTCTGGGAGTTTGTGATAAATGTCTAATTGTATCGTCCGACATCTGCCCTAGCCATTGTTCAGACCGGTTACCTGTGACAATACGTTTTGCCGATATCAGGTCCCCGATGGTTGAGACTATTAACTGGCGTGAGTCGTCGGCTGAATTGACATCTTCAAAAGAATTAATTCGGGCGCTCCCTGCAAGATCAGATGCGTCGGCACAGATATTTAAACACTGTTCGACGCTATCCTTTTCCTCTTGCATCATTTCCAACCTAGTGGCTTCGTCCTTGGAAATCTTTTGACGCTTTTGAGCTTCTGCCAAGCGGCTTCTTAGTTCTGCTAACCTTGATTCGAGGGAATTTGAATTGGCATTGAGCTTCAACTGAAAGTCGTGAAACATGGCTGCCGTGACCTTCCTAGCGTGTTGTGGTTCCACATTTTCCTTATGGGCGGACTCGGCAGGTAGATCGCGCGTAGAGACTGAGTCGTGCAACATGCCAGCCTGCAGGCTTTCAATATATTCCGAGGCTCGAGCACAAATATCCAGGCATTGCTCTGTGCTCTGCTTTTCTTCTTCAATCACTCTAGAATCTAAGTTTGAGCTCAGAGGGCCCTCGCTAGCTTCATTAAGCAACTGTAGGTTTTCGTAGATCTCATGCAAATGGTCCTGAAGATCTGATGTAGCTTCATCAATCATCCGCTTAAATTCATCAAGAACATTGCTAGTGACTGCGGCGTGACGACTAGCCAATAAAATTCCATGGTCAGATCAGAGCTTTCTGCGCAGCTGCAAAGGCATACATACAAAGTGGCGCTTCCAAGGGCGATACTAATTGTCGCCTTGTATCCGGCCAGTGTTGTTCTGAGATTGTTTATATCACCACCCATATACCGCAATTTTGCCCAATCACGGAAGCTCGTCCGGTCGACACCGGAATGGCTTGTACAACGTTTCAGAATCTCCTCGAATTCTTGGCATATTCTGCCGCATCGCAACAGTGGCTGCTTCAAGGCATCTAGTTCGTCTTCGAGTTCGGCCGCCGTGCCCTTTAAAGTCTTAAGAACATCGTTGAGTGACTGTAACTCATCTCGTAGATCTCTGATTGCCCTTTTGCTAGATTTGAAGCTTTCAACCAATTGGTAGAGTGATTTGCTAGTTTGAAAAGCAAAGCCAGCCAGCCCGACCAACCCGGACGCAATCCCAAAAGCTTCAGCCATCACAATGTGAGGCTTATATGAGCGGTAGAGAATACAAAGGACGATTCGGTCTGCTTTGGATATTTAGAGAACAGATTTTTTTAAACTCCATCTGAGAAGGCAGGCGCACCCGTCATTGATATGACCGTTAACGAAACTCAGCCAGAGATGTAAGTTTACCCCTCATTTGGCCATCGCTGACTTTCCGGCGGCTACAGGATGTCTTTAATTGGATTAGCAGCCGCTTATGTAACACACGAGATCGGCTGGATGCCCGAGGTTACATAAGACGTTATCCCGAGAGCTCGATTAAGCGTCCAGATTCCACACACCATCCGCCTAAAGGGGAAGAACCGATATATAAAACAAGTGAAGACTTCTCTGATCTTGTTCAAATAAAGGAGTTCCCCGTATCGTTACCTACATCCATGCTACTGACTGATGTCAAAATATATTCTGCGAAATTGGCGAATTTAGAAGCATATTCCCTAGCCTTGTCGTCCACGCCGGGATTGCGTGATTGTAATAACAGCGTAACGCTGACTGCGGGGTTCTGGTCCGCCTATTGGAGGCTGGTCAAACGTGGGGCGATTTGTTTCGGTTCCCTAGTCGCCGAGGAGGACCGTGCAGAGCACGTACGCCTACAATCCGCACAACTCAATGATCCACCAGCTCTCTATTATAGATAGGGTCTACCCAAACCCGATACTGTTGGATCAAATTTATAACTCGCCTTTCTCCGCTCCCTCTCCCCGGTTCTGTGCGGGATATATTGATAATATGGCGGAACCTATCAGTCTGGCTTCTGGGTTACTGGCATTAGCCACTTTTGCATTCCAGTCGAGCATTAAGTTATATGAAACAGTCAAGAGCTTTCATTCCCACCCGAAGCGCGTACGCGATCTTCTAGAGGAGCTGGAGGCATTGAGCGGGGTTCTTGGCCCACTCACCGAGACAATCAGCAGTATTACTGATGTCGACCTCACGGCACTTGACCTTCCCCTGTTACGATGTGGTCACGCCTGTGGAGAGTTCGAGCAAGAGATTCAAAAGTGTTCAATGCGTTCCGAGGGTAGTCGCACGAGCTTTCGCGATTGGGCCAAATTAAGGTACATGGGCGATGACATTGATGGCTTTAGGCGCCTGTTGGCTGGATACAAGTTGACTATTAATATTGCTCTTACGGATGTCAACCTGTGAGTCTCTTCATATCGGATGCAGTTCAGCATCTCATAACATCCCTTATATCTAGTTGATTAACGTGGTTAGTCGCAAGTCATCCATTACAGCCGAGAGTCTCAGAGATTACGAAGATCTTATCGTAACAGCTAAGGCCGATCTTGAGGCTCACCTCGAAACCATCGATGGAAAGCTTGAGCTTATATTTCAAAAAACGGTGGCAGGATCCGATTCAGATGCATCCGAACTACGACTGATCGAAGAGGAACGACTTAGCACGGAAAAATGCCTGCAAATCTGTACTCAGTTGTCCAACCATATTAGCCAAATCCAGTCCACACATGAATCCGATGACAGTGCCCCCGGACCATTCGATTTCGATACCCTGCCGGAAAGAGTCACGAAGGAGAGCCTGCAGGATTGTAAGAAAAGGTTAACTCTCACAGCTGCGAAGCTCGAGAGGCATATGAAAGACCTGATGGACAAGTTATTGATAAAGTCGCGATTGAATATGACATCCGAAGAGGAGTTTGCCGATCTTACTAGGTTACGAGAAGAGTGGGAGACAGCCCGTCAGTGCATGGATATCTGCTCCAGGGCAGATGATCACCTAAAGGAGAACATCAGCAACATTGACAACTATGCCACCGGTGACGCTGTACAATTCATGGTTTCGACAAACGGCACAATCATCCACGGTAAAAATCGAGGAGTGGGTTGGAGATCGAGGCAGGTTGGAGGCCATCTTAGCGATGTTTCTCTCCAACAGCTATCACGAGACTTTACAAGTATCAACCTGGGGAGTACCTTGCGCCCATCTTCACAAGACAACTCGCCGAATTCTCCTAACAACGAGACACCAAGCGAAACTACATCCGAATTCAAGGAACGATATGGACGAGGCTTCCGACTCTCACCTAAAACTTCTCAGCACATACCTATCAATGTGACCGCGGGCGTGGAGGAGCGAAGCAATTCACCGAAGGAATAAGATAACTAGGGCTATCCATTGATTGGAATTCCCTTTCTTATTCTCAAGCCTATCTCTTTTGTTTGCTCCTAGTATCTATCATAAGTCGCGTCTATGTATTGAATGGCACAGTGATACAGCTAATAAACCTACGTAATGATCCTTCTATGTTCAGATTATAAGAGCTGTGTGTTGTTAAAGCTATTTCAACGGCCATCGCTGACATGGCAACAATGTTGCTTGATGGTCAAATAGCTGTGTCGAACACGGATACCTGAAGGGTGCATTTTTCGTAGTTTCAGCTCGCCGTAGCCTAGCCCCTTTGCTGACGAGGATGCCATCAAGGTCACGTGAAACGATCGCCAACTCGCCGGAATGGGCTGCACCCCTTGCTCCTTCCTGGCGCGCCCTTAAACCTTGTCACGCGTCCTTCATTTAGTCCCCTAAATCTAATAACTCGAACGATTCAACGGATTTCCGAAGATATAGGTACCAACAAGTAAGAAAGCTAGGATAAAGACAGTTTTTGTACGCGAAATGAGCAGTTCCTATAAAAACATATTATATCTCATGGCAGATAAAACTACGCCGCCTGGGAGCTCTGTTAGCTCTCCCCTAACGCCTCCTCCGACTGACGGGAAACTATACTAGTATTCTGAGCCCTTTTGTATGAGAAAACCTATTCTAGTGAGTGCGTTATGCACGTATATACACTTGTCCGAAGACGACATATTGACTATCAAGTTGAAATCCCTAGACTAGGTATATTTGAGCTTGACGAGTACTCATTTTCTTTTAGCTATTCAATCCTGCAACTCCTCATCAGAAAAATATTTCTTTGGGGCATCAGGATTCACAAGATAACCTCTGCAATAGTTCAAAGAATCCTTGCCTGGCTCCTTCCTTACAGGCTTACATTTCACATTCGTCCCTTGACTCTCGGCGCACTGGACGAACTCCATCTCTTTTCTGCATCCACAGGTATACTGTATATAAAACGAAGTGCACATTGTGAAACCTGAGAGACATTAGACATAAGAGTTACATTAATCACAAAATGCCGTTTACCGTGATCCGTAAGTTTCCAACGAAAGACGAATTAGAAAATCCCTTAGCAGACGGTGGAGAGAAATCAGGTGGGCTTGGTGTATAGAGTTGGAATTCGGGACCGCAAAACCCGCATCCGCACCGCACCGAACCCTATGAGGTGCGGATTCGGTCCCTAGGGGTAGAATCCGCAATGGATTCGGATTCTGAAGGTTCAATCCGCAGCGGATTTGCGGATCACCGAAATTTATAGCTTTTTAAAAGAATTAATTAAAAATAATTAAAAATAATATATATATAATTTATATATTGATTTATATAAATATTATTTTTTAAAATTTTTAACTAATTTATTTGCTGAGTTATTAAAGAAAAAAGTTAAAAAACAAGTTGGTTCGGAAGGTGTATAATAGATATATATATATTTACCCGCACCAAATCAATTTGGTGGTATAGAATAAAAAAATTAAAATAATAAGCTAAATAAATTAATACAAGATAATTAAAAATTATTTATATATAGTTTATGTCTATATTTATATATATATTATTTTTAATTATTTTTAATTAATTTATTTAGCTTATTATTTTAATATTTCACTTTTTCGAATTACCAAAACTGCATAAAATAAGTATAAAACATGCATAAAAATTAACCTAATTAGGCTTAGCCTTAGGGTTAAGCCCTAAGGCTAACTTGAATAGGTTAGACTGCGAATCTCTTGGCAAAAACCGCACCGAACCCGCACCAATCCGCAACGGTTGCGGGTTCCTGATTTTCAGCCCGAAACCCGCTGCGGGCGGTCCCGAGATGGCCTTCCACCGCCCGAATCCGCACCGATGCCAACTCTATTGGTGTATTATGGGCGCTCTGGGGTGTACCGGAAAAAAAGGATCAACAAAATCAGGTAATTTATTATATTTATATAATTTAAATAAGATTTAGCTATGTGTTCTGCAAGGATTTTATAATTTTTTATAATATCTAGCCTAGAAATAACTGTAAGATAAAGAACTAAGCTAATTTTTTTTTAATAATTAAAATAATAAGATTTAGTAAACAGCTATCTTATTAATTTACTTAAATTATCAGATAGTAAAGATATTTTAAATAAATTCTAATTAGCTAATTTAAAGCAGTAAGCAATTTTTTTAATATAATTTATTTAATTAAGTTAAATTATTTAATTCTATTAATTTTAAATAACTTTTATATTTAGAAATTAGTAAATTTTACCTAAATTCTTTAGATTATATATTAAAAATAATTAATCTTTTAATTTGTTGATTTTTAATTAAGATTTTTAATTATATAATAAAATGATATTATTTATATAGATTATTAAAATTACATAATTATTTATAAATAATCAGGGATCTTTGTCACGGTGCAGACCTGAGGGCGCCGCCAAGCCCGCCAGAACCAGACAGAACCACTAAACCGGAAGAACCTGTCCCTAATCCTGATCCCCTAACTGCTTAAAAGCCCGAATACCAGAGATCCTATTATAGCTCCCTAAGCTACGTCTTATTTATTATCCTATATATAGCCTAACTATAGTAATAATTAAAAACCTTATAAACCTAGCCCGCCTAATCCAGCCAGACCACCTGCCCTGCCTGCCCCTGCTATACTAACTTTACTAACCCGCCAGCCTGTATCTTAATACTATATAGCTCTTACTTATAAAGCTAGTACCTACCTGATATATTTAAAATTCTAAAGCTCTTATCTTTTCCTAAGGACCCTGAACTATTTGCCTAGTATATTATTAAATATACTAAGGAATAGTATATCTATTATAACCAGATCTATATATTTATAATAAATACTAATATTAACTAAAAATATTTCTGCTAGGAAGTCTCCCGCCTCTAATAAGATATAAATACTACTATATAAATTACTATTCTTTAAATAAATTATAAAAAAAATTTAAATCTTAAATTTATTTAGGCCCTAGCTAATAAAAGTATAATAATCTAAAAATAAAACCGCGCGATCTAGACTATTATACTTATAATTAATACCCCGGACCAGACCCCTAAACCTGCTGCTAAAGAACCCCTAGTTACTTTAGTAAAAATATCTATATTAATTAATCCTGGATCTTCTGCCTCCGCCTACCTTTCTGAATAACTGTCTGATCTTAATAAATTTAAAAATATTAGATTAGATTTTTATTATTTTATCTCCTAGATCAAGAAAAAAATAATTATAAACTATAATTACTTCCTAACCTCCCAGGCCTGTATAATCTATATTTTTAACTATCTAAAAAAACTTTTTTATGCCTAAATCCTCCTATATATTAAAAACAGAGTTTACTAGTTAAAAAACTACACTAAGATCCTAAAAATACTTAATTATATTTATAAAAACCCGAACCGCGTCTGTAACACCCGGAATGCCTTATATAATCTAAAATAAAAAAATCAAGAGTTTTCTGTTTTTTTTACTAAATTCCAATAACTGGTTATAAAGAGAGAAATAGCTGAGAAGAGTTTTTTTATCCTTCTTAAAAAAGCTATTAACTAGGAAATAAAAACTATATTAATATACTAGGACCTGCCTGCTAGAAATTATATTAACCTTACTATTTTCTTATAAAAATTAGAAAATTACTATATTTAATATTCTCGCGGCTAACCCTAGAAGCCCGCCCCGATTTTAACCAGAACTAGTACTCGCCCGTAAACTATAATTAAAAACACCCGAAGCTATTATTCCCAGAGTCCAGTTAATAAACCCCCCCAGCCTATTATTATTATCCTGAATCTTAATATTATAAATCTCTTCTTAATTTATCACCCGTCCTCCTGTCCTAGGGATAGCACTTATAAAGATTATAATAAATATTTTTACTGCAGATCAAATTAACATATAATTAGAGATTACCCTAAACTAGATAGTCGCCTATACCAGATAAATTATATTATATATCCTGTCTCCCTCTTAAAGTCCCGTTTACCCCCTCGGAAATAGCCCTCCCTTATATCTTAGCCTTGCCTTATCCCGCAAGGCCTGTCTGTATTACTACTACTCTAGGCTCCCTAGCCCTAAATAATTTCCTAAATAAAATATTTATACTCTTTAGACCTGAATAAATAATTAAAAAAATCAGTCTAATCTAAGCCGTGACCAGGCAGACCCCCCTGTGTGTATCTACTAAATCTTTAAAGCTATTACTAGAGGCCTTTTTATTAAAAAAAAACTCCGAAAGACTAACTTATTAGTTATCTTTATTATACTAAACCCCGGTAAAAGTAAGATTACTATTTATATTATATTTAATACCGGCTGCTCTATATCCCGTGTTATAAATAAAAATTAGGCTAAAACCCAGAACCTGACCCTGTATCCCCTAAAAAAGCCTAAGTTAATTATAAGGTTTAATAACCGCGAGAATAAGACTAGTATTATTATTTACTACACCTGTATAACCCTAAAGACCTATAACTATATTAAAAGAAATATCCTATTCCTAATTACCTAAATTATATACTTTTTTATTATAATTAGACTCTTTTAGCTTAAGACCTATAATTCTAAGATAAATTTTACTAAATATACCCTCTAGTTTAATAGTTAGTATTACTAAAAACACTATAATATCCTATCCCGTCCCTAGAAAATCCGGGCCTTATATAATATCTTTGCCCGAGCCCGCCTAATTAACTTAAAAGCCCCAAAGGCCCTCCAGACCCGTAATATTTATATAATATTTATAAGAGCTTGCGCTACATATATAAAACAGGAAAAAAAAATCTTTACTATTACTATAGAATAAATTAATTAAATAATCTGTGAAAAGTCCCCTAAAAAACCCCTAGTATAAAAAACATCTAACTAGAGTCCTGATATTCCTATAGAATTCTAAGACTTTAAAAATATATTCTTACTAAAAAAGATAAATAAGCTGCCCTTACACAGGAATTATAACTATATAATTATATTAGAACCTGGCAAAAGACCGCTGTTCGGTCCCTTATATAATATATTTTAAAAAAAACTAAAAGTCCTCCGAGAATAGCTTCTTAAGAATCTATAAAAGGGTTTTATCTACTTAAATTTATCCCCTATAATATCCCCTGTCCTGTTTATTAATAAGCCTAATAAAGGCTTATATTTTTATGTTAATTATTAAGCCCTGAACGTAATCACTATTAAAGATTATTACCTGCTGTTTTTAGTAAAAAAAACCCTAAATAACTTAAAAGGAATATGCTACTTTATAAAGATTAATATTATAAGCACTTTTAATAACCTGTATATTTAGAAAGATCAAAAATAAATAACTGTGTTCCGCACCCGCCTGGGCCTATTTAAATCTCTAGTAATGTTATTTAATCTGACCGGAGCCCCTGGGACCTTCCAGTATTATATTAATAATATATTACGCGATTATTTAAATATCTTTTATATTATTTATTTAGATAATATCCTAATCTATAGCCGAACCTGTTTAAAATATATCTATTATATCTGCCAGGTCCTGCAAAAGTTATAAAAAGCTTATTTATTTATAAAACTCTTAAAATACAAGTTTATTATCCCTGAAACCAAGTTCCTAGGCCTGATTATTAGTTATAAAAAGATCTAGATAGATCTTTTTAAAATTAAGACAGTTATTAATTAGCCTATCCCGACTTATATTATTAATGTCTAGGCCTTCCTAGGATTTAGTAATTTTTATTATTATTTTATTAGAGACTTTTTAGAGTTAACCACTCTGTTTATTAATCTAACCCGCAAGAGAGTATCTTAAGAATAGACCCTGTCCTACTAGAAGGCCTTTAAGTATCTTAAATAAACTTTTATAGATACTCTAGTTCTACAGCCCTTTAACTAGATATATGCTATAATCCTGGAAATTAATATTTTTAATTATATTTCTGCCAGAGTTCTATCCCAGTATAATAATAATAAAATCTTGTACCCTATTATTTTTTTCTTAAAAAAATATTTACCTGCGGAGTATAATTATAAGATTTATAACAAGAAACTGTTTATTATTATTTACTGCTTTAAGGAATAGTATCTTAAGCTTAAAAAAGCCCCATCC